AGTCGAAGTCCAGATCACGATCTTGGTGTTGTCAGGGACACCAGACTTGCGCAGCAGCTCGGGAAGTGCGCGGGCGTAGGCCTCGCCGCGCTCGGAGATGTTGGAGTCGCCTCCAATACGGCCAGTCAGGTTGAACTCGGATTCACCGTGCTATTTTCGTCAGTAAGGCTTCAAATAATGGTTCGAAATTGTAATGTTTTGACTTACGCGGGAGAGCCAGATGGAACGAGGCTTGATGTGGATATTCTGGATGTAGTACACCAGACGGCTGGACAGATAATCTTTGATCTGGTTGATGATGACGGTCGATCCCACGTTGATGAGCTTGACGTAGGTGTACTTCTTCTCATCTTCGTCGATGGTTTCGTACACCTTCTCGTAGTTACGAATGCGGTTGCGGAAATCAAGGGCAGCGACCTCAGGATCTTGACCCTTGTAGTCCGGGGAGGTCGTCTTGACTTCCTTGATGTTAGTCATGATGAGATCTTCGTCATCGCAAATCGACTCCACAAAGAGAGCCTCAATGCCAGCTTCGGTGCACTTCTGATAGATCCACTTGCGGCGCTTTTTGGTGGAGTTGGTGGCATCCAAGATGGCGACAATCCCCTTGCCGGTCTTGAACCACTGAAGCATGTCCGACATGGCAGCCTCTGCGGCAGCTCGGCGCATGCGTTCACCCTCTTCATTGTGGGGGTCAAAGAAGGCGGCTCCCGGCTGCGGGTTGCTGAAGCGGCGATAGCTACCAACGTTGAAGACACGGGCAGGGATACCGACCCAACCCAGATAGCGCATGGCTGGTCGCTAAGTTAGTCTCACATGTTCATTTACGGATGGCAGGTTCACTTACCCTTGCCGGCGATGAGACTCTTGCCACGGGCCGGAAGGCCCACCATGACAACACATATCTTTGAGTCGTCGGACTGCGGAAGGAAGTTAACGGCGAACATTCTGAGTTGTGCCTTTCACGAAGAAAAGCCAGATGAATATTGAAAGAATGTCCGATTGTGGGAGTTGTGAGAAAGAGAAGAGACAGAAGGTAGACAAGACAGAAGATATAGTAGTCCCAAACGCAGTAACGCGCGATCAGAGTAACGCAGTATCGCGCGGACGATGCGATCTAGGCATCTTATATTTCTTATACTTCATGTAACATATGAGGTCAAACAATCCCCAATCAACCTAACCCACATACACATAATGCAAGCCTCGGCAACGTAACAATGTACCGACCCCGTGCATATCAGACAAAAACAGAGATCTAGCGGAATTGCACTCACCCTTGCAACGAATGCCTTATTCTGGACACTTTTTGGTAACATTTTGAGGTTGAGGTTATATGAAGAATGGCAAATACGAGAATTTCGGGAAGATTAGGGGCAATTCCGACCCGAAGCCGAAGGACCAAGAAGCAGAACTTAACCCAACATGGGGGTCTGGCCGAGTAAGATAAGGAGAATATAGCCTGTAGGAATGGATTATAGTATGAATTCACAAAGAAAAGAATAAAAAAAAGATAAAAAACCCGAAGAAACAGAACAGAAGAAACAGAAGAAACAGAATTCAAGGAGGCGCATAATGCGGTGAGTCTGGATTCCCCACTAACGTCATGAATCAATCCACTTTGACATCTTTGATAGATTCACGGAGTATTAATATTTATGTATGACAATGCCTTGTTCTCTGATATGCGGGGATTTCTTCATGTAGTGATATCTCTAATCTAAATTGTGAAAGCTAAGCCAAGCGCTATACTACATACATATGCAGTTCTTCATACTTCATACATACTAACCTTTCAGGGATCATGTCTCCATGCGGCTGTTTTTATACGGGCGCTTATACCCCGGACATACGACATGTAGGCAATCCAAAGAGAATTGACTAGTATACATAAAAGTTCGATATTCAGTGCGCAAATGGATTGACCACCTTGTGTAATACATACTTGTCTTCCGGCACACACCGGTATCCTTCATTGAGCTAGTGTAGATGTTGCCATAGTATATAGTTACTGGGCTCTTGACCCGAGCAGTATTCTCACCGGCTTCAAATATGAATACCTCGAGGTGGCCTCATCTTCGGGTGTACGGATGAGCTAATATTAAAAGAAAAGTGGCCCGCCAGTCCGGCCATCCGTCATGTGTCATATATAACAACTTCAATATTGTCTCTAGCCAAGTTATTCAAAGCACTCACGTGCTACGTTGTCAGCCCACTAATCTTAACAGCACTAAAGAACAAAAAGGGAATAGATCCAGATAATTATACATAGAAACGGCGGACCTGTGAACTACTGTATGTGGTTAGTTTTGCCTATTTGGGCTTAGCTCCCCAATACGTCTTGCGACCTCCTCTCTCTAATGTCCCAACATAAAACTAGGAAGCTAGTATAGGTCTTAATACTGTGCCAATCGTGTTTACCCTCTTAATATCCTTTCGAATATAGTCTAGTTAACTAACTAGTTAACAGTTTAGGCCTTGAGAGAAATCCCACAGCACTGGTGCCGCAGCACTAGTCCCGCCGCAGCACTAGTTTCGCCGCAGTAGACCCTTGTTTCGGTACTGCAGTGCGGGAGTGCTGCAGCACTGTAAACAGTGCAAACACGGACTAACCTCGTGACATGTAGAAAAGCTTTCTATTCTGTTTACAGGAAATATTCCAATGATCTACCAAAGATATGAAGCTATTCGGTGTAAGGCTAGAAGCTCTGGGGAAGATAATGATGGTTCATTCTCTAGGTCTATTTATTCTGCCGGTTGGGCTATTCTGCCAAAGTTAGCCGACTACTTCTTCACCGCATTAAGTCCAATGATTTTGGAGCCATAGGAGAAAACACCTTGTCACGTGACATGCACACGAGGTTATGATTTAATTGCTTCGCTTCGCTCCGCAATCACTCATCACTCATGGGTGTCCCATGGCCGCTTGACAGTAATATTGAAACCACTTGAATAACTCAACATCAATATTTCTCTATATTCTGTCACATCTGCTGGTTCCTCATTGTTTCCTCTGTCAATTTGCCACTTCATATTAGGCACTATCCTCACAAAGAGGTCGTCACCTGGTAACTAACCCCTGAGAAGATGTACCAGTTTTCCCGGACCGCTTTTGTAATGGGCCGGTCACTCGGTTCTTTGTCATTTCACAATCACCATGGCCTACGGGGTATGCATTCTGCAATAGTTCCATGTACCGCAGTGGCCCGCAGATGGTTGCCATCACGGCGCTCCCCGAGCGTCCCAAGGCTTTACTAAAAGGCGAAGAGAGGGTACATGAACTGAAGGTAAACGCAAAGACTTGATGGCATAGAGCTCTCAAACATAAGTAGCATTCATTCCAGCTGGTCTCTAGGTTATCGAAGAACGCAACGTTCTTGATCGTCCGCATATCTGCGGCCAGTCTAGGGCTTCCCACCACGCATCATCTTGGAGAGGTTCTCGAAGGCAGTGCGACGGCTGTCCACAATCCCGTTGAATGTGTCTACTGGCCCAATACTGCCAATTACAATCTGATCTTTGCCCTCGGCCAGTCCCTGATAAACCTGCTGCGTGAATGCGTCCAAGGGCATTCCCAACTGGCGACCCGCATCCTCGCCCATGTAGTCGTGTAATTCCGCTATAGCCAAGGGTCAGCACTGAAATATCAACATTATGGGGCCAGATTTGCCTTACTCTGGACCGGTGGAGGAGAAATCTCGATCACTTTGGTGTTCGAGTGCCGCAGCTGCTCCCGCAAACAGAGAGTAAAGACATTCAGGGCGGCCTTCGATGCTGAGTACGCCGGAAGCGTGGCGGCAGGCACGACGGCCAAATTCGAGCCGGTACTGATACATCCATTAGCTCTTGCCGCGGATTGCGGCCGGGTAGGCGTCTTACAAGATGAAACTAGTTGGGTTCGGGTTCTTCTGAAGATATGGCAAAATGGCGTGGGTGAGAGAGACGAAGCTGGAAAAGTTGATCTTCACTTCCTGGTGAAACGCCGTCAGATCAAACTTGTCGAGATCTGCCAGATCGTACGGGTTTTGCACCCCGGCATTAAACACAATGGAATCAATATCAGGCGATTCCTTCATCACCCTATTTGTTGTCCATCACCCCGTTAGTATGCGAAAAGCCCCGAGTCGGGAAAGACACCTACCTTGTGACAAAATCTGGAATCTTGGCCAACTCTCCAATGTCGAACCGCTTGCCTTTCGCATGTGCAGCCCCGAAAGTCTGCACGAATTCATCCAGGCGGTCCTGCCGCCGACCCACGGCGGTGACCTTAGCCCCCGACTCAATTAGACGGGTCGCGAGGGCCTTGCCGATTCCAGATGTCGCGCCGATAACCAAGAAATGCTTGTATGGGAACGCCATTCTGTCTCTAAGAAATCCGGGGTCTCAGCCGTGGTTGATTTGGCACTATAGTAGGGGGAGAAATACGAGCCTGTGGTGGGTCGCCCTGTGACCGTTTATATTAAGAAGCTCCTCTTAACGTCGCATACCGCAGCCATTACTCCGGAGTCCGTAGTGCGGGGCTCGGTTTTACGGTCTAACGGCCTTATCTTTCTTATCCCCGAGAAAGTCTAGACTAACATCAGCAAATGGCCTCGCGGTTACTCGGTGACGCTATGGCTAGCGTTGCATGGATCTTCCTGCTCTTCGTCAACTTATCAACGCCTGGGACCGAGTAAATAGGCGGACATCCCTGCAGCGGCTGTGTTTCCTTCCGAGATGACGCAGGTGATTCGGGGCTGTTCTCTTACTCGAGATCAGGTCGAGTCCAAAGATATCCACCAAGTCTTGTGAGAATCGCCTCCCAGATTCACATCGACCCTACCAAATGGGTTCTTTGGTCCCCTATAGGTTGGTCACCCGGAAAGTCAGGAACCCGCACCTGCATACACTACGGTAGGATATAAGCATTGCACATCGATACAAAGATGGATATCTGGGAAATTAGGTGGAGGGCAAGATATTCCGGAGCCTTATGAAAGCATGGAATGAGCGAGTCATATCTAGTGAACTGTCAGCACTGTTTTGAGGCCACTTGCGGCCATCCCACTGTATTTTATCACTGACAGGTAATTGATCCATTCTCCAAAAACAGGTTGGAGAAGGGCCTTGGTGAACGCGGTCGGTTTGTACTGTCCATCGGCGGGGTTCTCGAGCATATTCGTCGCGGCGAGGTGCGCAAGTACTCGTCCTACCTATGTTAGATTTATAACAGTAATGATATATGCTCGGGCGGTGATAAACGTACGAAGCAGAAATGCATCACAACTGACCAGATCAGCCAACTCCACGTCCGAGCATACAGCGTCCTCCTTTACCCGATGCCATTCCTCAAACAGTTGGAGGTCTCGAGCTATCTTCAGACTTGCAAACAACGCGGGCTCCTAGCTATCAGCAACAATACCATTTATACTGAAGTGATATGCCATATCCTACCTCAGTCATGCAGAGACGAGCCACAGTATCCCACGGGGTCTCCAAGCGGCTAATCAAGCGGTACGCTGCTGCCAGCGCCTTAATCCCCTCGCCGTCGGATGAGAATGAAGATTGATCAACTGCCTCCACAACGTTGCAAAAGTCATTGAGACGAACATGCGAATCGTTCACTTCATTAGTGGCGGACATTGTGCCTGAGAATAGCCCAACGAGACTGGGGTGACAAGATGGACGACTTTTGTATGCTACAGCATACTAAGGTGTGCAACGGATACGAAACCCGCAGCCCCGAGTAAATTTGTCATGTCGCCGAGTATTTCAAGTGCCCCGAATCAGGCTCTGTGTTAAGATCATACCTGTAACTGAAGACAACTGGTGACCGAAGAATAAATCATGTTCAACACCGATGGTACCTTAAATGCATAGTTACTAGTTTGCTCTCGCCCTTCAAACTAGCCTATAACCCCCCGCCCGGGTCATTACCGAAATGGGTCTGCTCCAGACAAGTATAGCCTCACTCGTGGCGGCTTCATGGTGGGAGATGTTTCTTCTTTTCCTTCTGGCACCCGCTTCGCTGGCTCTCTATCGTGTCTGGCTGTCGCCACTGTCCCACATTCCTGGGCCTTGTTTTGCTCGGGTCTCGTCCCTATTTCTTCACACTATCTGCTATCTTGGTATAGAGGGCCGTGTCCTCTTGTACTATCATCGGAAGTATCGCACGCAGGTACTTCGAATCGGGCCAAATGCCGTTTCATTATCTGACCCTGAAGCCCTTCACAAGGTTTATGTTGTGGATGGAGGTTTACCCAAGGATCTCCTCTACAGCAACTTCCCGAGTGGAAGGCTGCGACACCATTTTCTCCACCCTCGACCCACTGTATCGTGATGTGCGAGCTAGGGCAGTTCTTTCATTGTTTGGACCTGGCCGGCTACGCGCTTCGGCAGAGAATGACGGCATAATCGGCGAATTGGTGACAAAGTTTGTCGAAATCATGAAAATGGAGAAGGGAATGGCTTGCCAACAGCGAGTCCATGGCGAAGGGACAAGAAAGGTCGACATTCTGGACCTTGCGTCAAAGCTGTCCATCGATGCCCTGACCAAATCTCTCTTCAAGAAAAGTTACGGGGGCCTAGATGAGCACTTGAGCGCTCCTGAACCGACGTCAGGCGCAACAACAATCGGAAAGGGACATAAACTTTCCGCGACGCCCTTCGTTCTGGCAATTGTTGCCTTCAGCCGGTTCTCTCTCCTCCCAAACTGGCTCTTCCGCATGGTCTTCTCCCTTCTGGTGGGTCCCACTTTGTCCGAGCCCGAAGTCGCGGCGTCGTTGAATCGTATCTCTGAATATACGACTGGGATTATGGACCAGTGTGCCGTCACCGACGCATCTTCTGAGCGATTTGATAGAGATACATATCAATCTCGACTTTTCTCCGCAGGCATATCATATTCAGAGACTCTCATTCAATGCAAGGCTGCCATGTTCGCAGGCGCAGACTCGACCGCGGTCATGCTTCAACTATTCTCTTTCATCTCATCCAACATCCAGACGTGCTTCAGAGGCTGAAAATCGAAGCCAACCAGCATGCGCCTAATGTTAGTGACCAAGTATTTCCATATCTGCGGGCCGTCATTCGAGAGGGTCTTCGACTAGGGATGGCAAATCTAGCACGCTTGACCCGGATTGTACCCCCGGAGGGCACAGGGCTCACCGTAAGTGGAATCTATCTACCGCCGGGTACAATCGTGGGTGCAGCTGCATATGTGTTCCACCATAATCCGGACATTTTCCCGGACCCGTTTGAATTCCGTCCCGAGAGATGGATGTCGGGGCGTGGGGAAGGACAGCAGGTCGAACAAGCAAGGCGGCTCATGGATAAAGCTAGCTTTCCTTTTGGCCTCGGGTCGCGAGCATGCATTGGTCGAAACCTGGCAATGCAACAGCTATTTTCTACGGTAAGCGCTGTTGCGAAGAGTGGGGTACTGGAAGGAGCAACGACCTACACCGAGAAGATCGAGCTGGTTGAATGGTTCAACGCAGAGATTAAAGGTCATCACCTTGATAAGTGGCTGTGAAGCTGGAGGGGAAACTTTGCCTGGGACCGTTTCGGCGTGGAGTTCTTTTCCACGTACTTGATATCGTTCGAAACTTGAAAGCATAGCGTGGAAATATCGTCCTTGTAGATATTTTAGTCGGAATCCTTCCATGGCCATTCTTGTTACTCCGGAAACTCTAGCCGTAACAGGGCTTCCGAGCTCAGCTGTTTTGTCTGGCTCGTCGATCGTGATGATGACGTCTAGGCTATTGACAATAAATTGCCCAGGTACTGCGGGACTTGTCAAGGCCTTGCTAAGGCTACTAATCTTCGAATCCTGGAGCCTTCTAAATAACTAATAAGGAGAATACATGCTGATATTGTGATCAAGCTAATATCCAGTTGAATTCACTCCCGCTAATAAGACTGGAAAGTACTGCCGATCGAGTAATGACTTCAAAGTAGTGAGACCGAAGAGATTATCTGATACTCTCGTTACATTGCATATTCAAATCAATGCAATGAATGAGAAGAGCAAGCCCCTGTCATTCGGTATCCATTCAGGACGAGAAATGGCTTCTATTCACAAAGCCCTTGATTGATATTCGACCTATGAAAGTCAATCCGAGGCAGCATCTGCAAGCAGCAAGAGCTATTCTTCAAGTAATCTTCCACAGCAAATCTCGATCAAGAGATCGGGCTGAGAAGAGGGCTAGGAGTCGGGCACGCTCAGCTCGCCCAATCAGACGAAGTTAGCAACCCAAACATCCATAGCCCTAACTCCTTTCCGACCCCCTTGTATGCCCTTCAAGCTTGCCTCACACGCATCCCGTGATGCAATAACCACGGCCCGTTCCCTCTCATCAACCACTAGCTCCTCTACTTCCCTTTCGAAAGAGGAAGAAAGACAAGCAGAGACTTCCCATTGTCCGTCCAACAACCCCTCCCCACCTTGCACGAGGGTCTCACTCTCCAGTTGCCATCCGGCAGCCAGGGCCAGCTCGGTAAGCCGCTTTGGCCCCAGCACCGTGCGGACGTTCGATTCGCTGCCCTTGGGTTTACGGCACTCCAGCGCTGCCTGGGTGAGCGCAGCTAAGACGTGAGGCTGGGCAGATGGGTGTGTCGCTACCAACGACCACTCAGCAAGGAGGAGACGCTTGCTGTGCTGCTTGATGGCACGGAGGGTGGAAAGGATAAGCGAGGGAGAGGCAAAGTACCATAGGCAGTGGGCGAGTACTGTCGCGTGGAAGGCCTTACTTTCGCTGGCGGGCGGCGAGGAAAGAGAGGAGAGGTAGTCTAGGGGGGTTTGTTGGACCCAAGTAATCCGTCTACCTAGAGGGCCTTGCGAGATGTGACCCTGTGCTTGGCCGAGACTATATGGGGCACCTGCAGGAGCTATCAGTCGACCCAGGACAGGCAGCAGGGTCAGAAAAGCTAGAGGACTCACCATAATCCAGATCTGCCGGATCGACCGCCACAACTCTACCCTGCTCGCCTACAGCATTGGCAAGGACAGTCGTGCAGTCTCCTTGCCCGCATCCTAGTTCCAGCACCTTGGAGTCAGTGGGAATGTTCCAGTGCTGCAGGAGCACCAGGCGGTGGATGGTTTGAGAGTGCTGGATGCTGAAGTGAGCGGGGTTGTGTAAGGAGACACGGGCGATTGAGGCGGCGTCGAGTTGAGTGGACATGTTGTGATCGCAGCTCGATGGGTGCTGGACACAAGATGGCCGAGTGGGTTTTGCGTAGTAGCAACGGAAGAGCTGCGGATGAGGACATCTTATAGTGCCACACCCTACCGCAAGATTAGTATGGGGTAAGCTACTGGGGGTTGATATTGTGACATTCTTTTACTATTGTGACAAAGCCCGGCCCCACTCTTTCCCGAGACATCTACCGCTGACCGGACTCCGGAGTATCAGGATTAAGATAAGTCTGGGACGTTTTGCACATTTTATTGGCATTTCCTTGAAAACTTCAAGTTCTTTGTTGTAGGACTTATCAGTGGATAGGGTACGGAGTGGTACTAGTGATCAAGGTAAAATTCCAAAGCAGGCGCTTCATCGCAATAGTAAAAGAACATTCTGCCCAACGACCCCGCTTTTTAGCTTGACCCGGTGCCCCTTTCTATCTTATAAGTACGAGGTCGATTCCTCCGAGTCACTTCTATCCTCATGAGTCATTACATCTCCCGCAAATAAGAAATTCTTTTCATCCATTGCAACACGTACCCTTTTGCCAGCGATCGTCCAGAAATCACCATGGACGTGGTTATTTTCCAGGAAATCCAGCTGGTTAATACGGTCAGATGTCCTTTAGAAATCACCAAGGCCGTGATTATTTTCCAAGGAGGACATCTGACCGTGTCAACCAGCTGAATTTCTTCGAAAATAACCACGGCCATGGTTATTTTTGGAATGAAAAGAATTTCGTATTTGAATGAATGCTATTTTATTGCTTTTGTTGAGCTAGTTGAGAAATCTGAAGTTTATCTGAACACTTTATGCTCTTTCAAGCAACTCAAACCCAAAGCTCGGCGCTATATGAATTTGCATAAAGCTCACATGACACGCCACGCGCTGGCACCTCATCTCCACCACTAGACTCTCCGCCCCGCGGGGACAGGCGAACTCCAGTGTTGTGCTGTTCTGCTTGGCTGTGAGGTCTAGCACGCCGAGCAGCTCCCCGCGCACGGGAAGGGTCAAATACGATAAGGTATCATAATCGAGCTCGTCCATATTGGAAGAGACGTTGACCGAGGTGGCCGAGGTAGCCGAGGGTGCGATAAGCTGCCAGACTTCAATTTCCGTTATATCCCCCTTGGTTATGAGGTCCTTGGAACGCGGAGAGAACTCGCCAGGCGGCCGCCAGGAGAGTGCGCAGGTGTTAACGCCGGTGGAGGGGATGGGGAAGCGCATAATTGTCGAGTCCTTCTCTTGAGTCAGCAGCTGCACACAGAGAATATGTGGATGGCTTATTGAAAAGAATGAGGAAGGAGCAAGTACGGATTACGGACCTCGACAGTAACATAGACCTGCACTCCCTGACCCCACACGGCATTCTTCAGTCTCCGGCTCACTCGTGCAATTCTATCCGGCCAAGCGCGGTGATAGACCCGGGGAGGAGGAATGAATTTCGCTACCCTGTCCAATCCCAGCCTAGCGTCGCCATACGGGAGGGCCTCGAGGTCAGAGTCAGAGAAGGGGTAGGCTTGGTACTTTGATAGTGTAGTGGGAAGGAGAGCGACATTCACAGCTGATAGTAGCGCTAGGGCAAAGGAGAAGTAGAGGATGAGCTTGGGCAGCTGGGAGGGCTTGGATGGTGCGAGGGCGGGGAGGTTGTCCGAGGCTTCCAACAAGGGGGCAGAGTGGTCGTCCTCGGAGGAGCGCTTCTCAAGAGTTGCGCTGGAGCCGCCATCATCATGTAGCGAAAGAGGCTCATATTGGGAAGAGCTGGACTTTGCTTTGGAGGAGGACATGACGAGAACAGAGCGAGCCAGAGAGAGGGCACGCCGTAGGTGAAAGCAAGCAACGGTAAAGCAGGCAATGGCGCCCGTGCCAGGTAACCGCCCAGAAAGCAAGACAGCATGAAGCCTGGTACGCCTTACTGCTCACCGCGCTCGCCATACATCATAGATAGTAGAGTTACAGTGCATTAGAGACTCCGCCCTTCCGCATGGCCAAGCGGACCCCTGTGCGTTCGTCATCGCTGGCCAAGGAAGCGGGGGCGGGTCCCCGCCGGGGTCCCGCCGGGGGCCCGAAGTGGGGTTTGGATCATGTGGGTCCAAGCAAAATGTACCTTTTCTATTGGATACACATATGAAAAGTACTTCCAAAAATATATATATCTCGACAATATCATTAAATTAGTATTACGAAGTTAATTTGTAAAAACATAGCTTCTAACTATTTCTAAGATTTTTATTATTATCTAAAAGTAGAGAACCACATCGGGGTTTGGGTCAGCGTTGGACCGATTAAGTTTTGCCATAGATAGTAAAGTTACGATACATCAGAACCTCAACCCTTTTGCATGGCCAAACAGATCACCATGGCCAATGAGGGGGACGGGTGGACCTCTATAACTGCCTACGTGTACCATCTGACGCCATCAAACTCGGCGACCAGCGATTTTAGGCGTGTAACCGTGACGGCTCCTTCTGGCAGGTAGGAAGGGCCCGAAGAGGTGAGACCGTCTGAGAACAATTCATCTTGCCCTCTCTCTATACACCGTGCTGCACTTGATCCCTGTCCACCATGCCCTCCTTCCTTGCTGCAATCTCCTTCCTGTTTGCTCTCAGCACCAGCATCAACCTCACATCCGCCGCTCATGCCGGCTTCCACGTCCAGTTCCCATGGATGACCCGCGGTCCAAGCCCCAAGACCCGCCCAGAGATAGATTGGTATAACCCTTTCTGCGGTATGTTCCTTTCTGTCTCCTGTCTAGCAGTAGCGTAGGCTGATACAGAGAAGGGGAGATAGTGCATAATCCCCAACGATACTCCCGCCGCTCCCGTAGTTTCCTCTCATTCTCCGGCCATCCTGGAGACCTTGTGACGGCCCTCTATACTCGACATAGAGTGCCAAGGAAAAGAGATGACTTCCCCTACATTATCTTGCAAGATGTGCCCATCCAGCCTTCGGGGCAGCTGTGTGTGAATGTTACAATACCATTTCAGACCAAGGTCAACGAGATGGGAGTTATATACTTCGAAGCGAGGGATCCGAAGACAGGGGATGTGGAACACTATGTCAGTTGCTCCGGCTTGCAAAAAGAAGAGCTGATGCTGATGCAAAGATAGTGCTCCGATGTCAAAATGGCTGATATGGAGGCTCTTCCGGAGGAACATCCGGCTATGTGTGCGGCTAAAAATGAGACACTTATCCCGATGCCGGATGAGTACTTGTAGATACAGGCTGGAGAGCTGTAATGTTCTGCAATTATTATGTGTAGTTCGCTTCTAAACGTGCAACTTTACGCCCCTCTCATATTAGTCGACAGGCTCTAGCGCGTACAATGTGCAGAGAGACTGGACATAATACAAATACGTGCAGAAAAGATAGCCGAGATAGTGCTTGATATACTCTGTTGATAATGTATACTGCTATGTAACAAACGTTGTGGAGAGAATGCGGTGCCCGCATGTTATAGACGTTTTTAAAGCTCGTTCCATGCGAGACTTTGGTTATCCGCAGCCGAGTAGTGTCTAGACGACCTCGTCTTCATCCACCCCGTAGGTGTGTCGTTTCTCGAGCGCCTCGTCTTCATCCAACCCGTAGGTGTGTCGTTTCTCGAGCGCCTCGTCTTCATCCAACCCGTAGGTGTGTCGTTTCTCGAGCGCCTCGTCTTCATCCAACCCGTAAGTGTGTCGTTTCTCGAGCGCCTCGTCTTCATCCAACCCGTAAGTGTGTCGTTTCTTGAGCGCCTCGTCTTCATCCACTCCGTAGGTGTGTCGCTTCTCGAGTGTCTCGTCTTCATCCACTCCGTAGGTATGACGCTTTTCGACCGTACTAGGGAGATAGACACGGTTGATTGGCTGCCCCGCGCGGCGAGCCAAATCAGCGGCAGGAACTGCTGCGGACTGGACAGGGAGGATATTCAGGCCGAGGCTGGCGAGGCTGAGCAGGGTGGTGAAATGCATTGTTGGAGTTTGGTGGTGAGCAGATGCTTTGGTTGTGCGAGGCAAAGAAGTGGATTGTTGGTGAGATATTTTTAGTGCTCATGCCCTTCGGAATTTATACGTTTCGCGATCTGAAGGTGAACAAGAGGAGTGGGTTAGATGCCGAGTCAAAGTGCCGACTCAAATCTTCCCCTCATCTAATCGACGATCACTACTAAGAATAGAGGAGTAGGAGGCCTTACATGTAGTTGTAAATCTGTAATGCATATGATGTGATCCGCTCTATAGATACGGAGTAGGTATTGTTCGTACTTGTGTACGCCCCACTCTCGGACCGAAGCGAGAGTGGGGCGTGCACAGCCCTGGAAGTACTAGTGTGGAGATAAGCATTACCCACAATTCTTACTTCACTTCTCAACTACCACCTACCTATTTGGTCCTAAGAGGGGCGCGATAACCCGAAATTCCTCGAGATTCATTGACTAGCCACCTGGCGAGCAAGAAGCCAAATCAGGGTGTCGTCATTATTTGCCCCAAGGATGATCCTCGTGTCTATCTCTCGTGATGAGTACGGAGTAGGGTAGGATTATTTGTGGAGCCGCAAACTGCACTACGTGTACTCCTCTGCTTACTGGCAGTCTCCACTTCATTGAAAAAACAATCTGGTGAATAGAGCATCTCGACAGTTGCGTCTTCGGGACCATCGTGACTTACCCACCCAAGGCTGAGCGGATACGGCCATAGATGTGTTAGACACAATTAACCCGCTCCTGATGCTGAAAAAATCCCGTCTCCCTCTGCTAACCCTCCACGCACCACCCTACCAGCACACCCAAGATGTTCCCTAAGTCCGTGGCACCCCAATTAAGCGGCCCCTACCTCGGCCTGCTCGCAGCACTGAGCGTATGCCTCGTCCTGAATCTGGGCGCCCTCTTCTTCTCACTCCGCATCTTAACACGCGGAACGCGGGGATACAGTGCGCCATATCCCTGCTTCTCCTCGCACTCATGACTAACGCACAGTAGCCTACCTCGCCGGCGACCGACCTCGTGAGCTCCCCATAAAGGTCCGCACCATCCAAGCCGCCTTCCACGACGACCCCTCCCACTACGGGATGGAAGGCATCACGGCCACGGCTGAATGGAATGCAATCCGCCCTCCCGGCAAGGGGTTCGTTTTTCTAGGGGAGGAGCACTTCGCATTTGATGTGTCGATGTGGCACCAGATGCACTGCCTTAACCACATACGCGCGGTGCTTGTCAACGGGGACGACGGGTCGGACCATACTGCGCACTGCTTCCATTACCTACGGCAGGGCATTCTCTGCGCCGCTGACACAACCCTAGAGTCGGGCGGTACGAACATGAAATTGGCTAATGGGGATAAAGTTGCTACGGGCGGAGGAACTGTGCATACCTGCCGGGATTGGAGACAAGTGCATGATTGGATGGAGAACCAGCATAAGGAGTGGACACCGGACATGTATACAAGGTTTCAGGAATCTAGTTAATAGTATAATATAGAGATTCTGCGTCGTATGGAACTAGACAATTTTTTGGGGGTTCGGAGAGTACCCAACTATGTGCGTAGAACTAGTTGAGCAAGGCACCTCGCCTCTCGTTTCCCTTTACCAAGAACGAGAAGCCAGGTAGGGCGGAGCCTAACTCGAGTGAATGTGGCCCTGATATGACTAAACTCCAAGGTATGGTACTAGTCTAGTCTATTACCCATCACTCCTCGTCCGTATACCGGTAACACAACGGCCAACCCTCTGTATCAAACACCTTCCTTGGTGCCACGGGCACACTCTGAACGTCGAAGGACATCTGATGATCTGCGTGCGCATCAAGGTCGTAGCGTGGGTCAGTCATATTGTGCGGGGTTAGAGGCATGCCCGAAAAGGCGGCGAAGTTAGATGGGTGATGGCGCTGCCACTGTAAAACTCATGTTAGTAGCGTCGCACTGCAGCAGAAATACGGAGCGGGAAGGTATCATAGGTTCGGGGGCGCACCTCACTCCACAACCGGTCGAGTTGCGCATGATGAAGCCAAAAGAGTGGGTCATTAGGCGTGAAGCTGATTGCCATACCTTGGCAATCCTCCTCCGGCAGGGTCTTCGGGCAGTCCCCCGCCAAATCGCCCCCAACAAAATTGTGTACGTGGTTGTGCATTAGTGTCATTGCGCGCTGGAACCTAAAAAAGTCGCCCGTGGTTTTCTCGGTCGAGTTACGGATGAAGTCCGGACCGAGGGTGCGGTTTTGAGGCAGCTCATGGGGGTACCAGCCGGTTATGAGCGTCAGATTCCTCCGCAGCGGGTGTGGGATCGGCCAGGAAAGCTCGAAGTTCCCGGTGGACGGGGCAAAAGCGCCGGTGGTGACGGTACAGTCCGCCTCGGGGGAGGAATCGCAGTCCCCCGTTCCGCCTAGCCCGTACTCCGGTGAGTCCTCGAATACTGGCGAGCCGAACAGGGCTGCGTGATCGCGCGACCAGTCCCAGTATGGTGTTGGCCCACTGTATCCGCAAGTGTTGCGGAGTGAGGTGTCGAATAGGTAGGTGAACCAGCGATCTGCGCTCATGTAAGTATGCGCCTGGGGAAGATAAGGAGGGACGGAACGCACGCCACGGCAAAAAGTAGGCATTCCTATGCGCGCTGTGCTCCACTGATGCGTGCGAATAAGAGAAGTCGTCGTATAGGCTCCTCTTCCCCTCAAGCACCGTCTGGTCCTTCGTCAAGGACAGCCGTTCGTGTCGTATGCTTGCCAGGCACTACTCAGCATAAGCAACGGACACGTTACATACGGAGGAAGGAGGGCGCACCTTGACAGCCCCCACCCACTCGGCTTTCTCGCTGTTCGTCAACGTCCGCCATTCTTTGCGTATCAGCAGCTTGCTACACTTTTGTGGTTGTTCCTCGTGCGCATATGAGAGGTGGACGCTGGGGAGGACGGCGAGGACGGTGAGTACGTAGAGGAACAAAATCGAACAGCCCATGGCTATAATTCAGCCAGGAATGAGATAGAGAGTAGGTCGCGATAGTCGCAGTATTAAATAATACCCTAACTAGTTAGCTTGCTGTGCATGATGGAAGAAGTCGCCTATGCAGACCCCGCCTTTAGATTAACCCTAAGGGACTTTACGCCTTAATTCGCTGGTTGCTTGAAGCCAGACATATCCAGTGCCACGAATTGGCCTCTAAATTGCCCTAGTCACACAGTCTCTTACTGTATCGTGGTGCCTTTTCCGCTCTTCACTCACATCCATCTTCAAGCCACAAGCACAACGATGCACACCTCTATCTACCTCTCCCGCTTCATTGCTCTCCTCCTCTGCATCGCCTTCCCCCTATACCTCGCCATCCATGGCTCTACCTCGTTGTCCGACATCGCAGTTCTCCTCTCCTCCCTCTCCGAGCGCGCCGAAGCCCTTCACGCCGAGCTCACCTCCCCGCTTGCCGCCCCTCCAGCGCCAATCTCCAAAGAAGCCTTCAAAGCTTCCACCGAGCCCGCCAAACCCGTGCGCGCACCCGAAGGCGAGAGAAGGAAGATATACCCCCCCCTTCCCAATGGACTGGCGCACTGCATCAACTCCTTCGAGCAGTATCCGTTCCTCGCCGAGCAAGTGCTCCAGCGGAAGCATGCGCGGTATTCCAAGCAGACGCCCGCGCAGAAGGCGATAAGCAACAAGCTCGGGTATCCTGCGCACTTCGAGAAAGCTAGGAAGGGGATCGAAGTGAACGCCCGGTTCTCGGAAAAGATCGCGCAGATTGCGAGGGAGGATTACCACACCGGCCCGCAAGCGCTGGAGGACATTGAAGACGCGGAGTTTGGAGTTGTGGACCTGGCGTTTGGACATCTTTCGCGAGACTGGAGCACCCAGGGCGCAAGGGAGAGGCAGGCCGTGTTTCCGCCTGTTCTAAGTGGGCTTGAGCAACATTTTGGCGGGAACACGAAAGGGAAGAAGGTACTTGTACCCGGAAGCGGTATGGGCAGGCTGGCAAGCGATCTCGCTGATCTAGGTGCGTCCATCTTACTCCCTTGAGTGGAAGGCGCGACCTCACATCGGTGCAGGGTACGACGTCACGGCCAATGAGCTGGACTACGGCTCCATCCTGGCCTACCACCTGCTAACGAACCATACGACCTCGCTGCACCAGCACACCCTGCAGCCCTTCCTGACCAAATGGACGTACCAGGCCAACCCCTCCTCGCGGTATTCCGCCCTAACGGTGCCGGACCACTGGCCAAACAAGGCCGTCAAGCTCGTCGAGGGCGACTTCTTGGAGATGTTCCCCGAGGACGGTGAGTTCGACGCCGTCGTCACGCTCTTCTTCATCGACATTTCCAAGAACGTGATTGACTTCCTGAGCAACATACATCGGCTGCTAAAGCCTGGTGGGGTCTGGATCAACCTTGGGCGTACGTTACTGTCCTCCCTTCCTTGAACACTGACATTTAAACTTCTTGTGATCCGTTCACTGCGGAACTCGGGCTGATGTGTATGTACACAGCGCTTAAATGGGGCAGCCACACCGCTCTCCAGCTCTCCGCGGAGGAAGTGCTCCAGCTGGCAGATCTGCTCGGGTTCGATGTGGACTATACGTCAAGGAAGAGCATCGATAGCCTGTATGCCGAGCAGCCGGAGACGTTGCTGAAGTTCACTTATGGTGAGTGCCTGCCGTTTTCTTGTGAGGAGTGAGGACGGTTGCTGATGGCATGGGCAGTTACTCAGTACTGGTCCGCGACGAAGAGGGGGTAATAGGTGCAAAAAATGTCAGAATCTTTGAACATGACAAAATGCGATTCTTTCACTTGCATTAGTACTATATATGGCATCAAACCCCCATTCTCTTCATCGAGATAGCACCCAGTATAACTGTCTCCTTCACTAAACCGATCGGGATCGCTGCTACAATCCGCCGAGAGGATGGTAGTAATAAGCCCTTTATCTTCCACTACGGGCTAACAATTTGGCGTGAACATCGGTCTACCCCGTGATGTCATTCCTAGAGGAGTCTCTTCCACCCTCACTGTTATAAGGCAACTGGAGTAGAAGGCGTATCATGGCGTCCAATGGAATATCCTTGGTATCAATGTTTTGTGCTGGATTCTAGGCCACTACCGGTTGGGTGTTAGCGGCGGTCTCCTCTGTGATTATACTAAGTTATATGCTATTTGAGCGAGTCATGGATTATGGCCAGTAAAGTCGGACAGTGTTGGAGATAATCATGGAGGGACCAATCGGTCTAATTACTTAGAATTTTGGGAATAGAAGAAAAGAATTGGCGGCAGACTGATGCGTGAGCGAGACACGCAATTCGACGAGGAAACGGCTTTGCTCTCCAAGTCTACCTACGTAGGCTTGGTGGCATTAGACTTATAAGTTATAATGGCGCTTAAGATCGGTGGTGGGCGATCATGCAATGTGACACGTCCTATTATTAATAATACTTCTTTTAGGCAAGCCCCTGTACTTAGATCAGGCATCCTTGGGACCACGAGCAAACTGGACGCGTAGCGGACCACCCCACGGTCCTTGCTGGCCATTCAGTGTATCCATAGCTTTCTGGGCTTGCTCGGGAGTACCCACATCGACGAACAGATAGTAGTGCTCGCCCGGATCGAACCGCTTAGCGGGGTGGGGGGCGAAGACCTTGCTAACATTCTCACTGAAAACCACAGGACATCAGTACTGACCACACGATACCAGAAATCCAAGCCATCCAAACTTACACCTTGAATCCTCGGAAGAAAAGCTCGATGTTGCTCTGCACAGCCCCGTGGTCGGTCAACCGCGGCAGACCACCTACATACACGCGGTTGCTGGAGTCACTGTTGACCTTCGCAAAGCTAGGTCTCTCTTGCTGGCGCCAACGATCAATGCGGAACGGCTCAGGCGGGTTCTGAATGCGCTCCTGAGACTTGGCGACACCGGGCTTGATCTTGACAGGGCGACCCAGCATATCGCGGCCATTGAGCTCGGTCATGGCGCGCTCAGCATGCTCCTTGTTCTGCAGGTCAACGAAGCAGTAGGAGGGGTTCCGGCCGGTAAAAGGATCAATGGCAATATCTATGCGCTCGCTATTTTCGGGGGGGTGTTCAGTTGACGACGATTCACGGCTGGGCCAGCAAGTTTCAAGTGGTGCAGGCATACATAGGGAACTCGGCCGCTATGAACAGCGCCTCCACATCCTCCATCTTGGCCGTGTATGGCATGTTGCCGACGTATAGGCGGCGCCCATCGTTAATCGCTTGAGGGACGTGCGCTCCGGGCCGGCTGAAGGCTGCGCGGGAGGTATTGGGGTTGGGGTTGGGGCTCGGGCTCGGGCTAGCGTTGGTGCGCGATGGTGATGGTGTTGGGCTTGCAACCTTCATGCGCCAATTGGGAGAGTTGAAAGCTCGACCATCGGGACGGGCATTTGCAAAGGGAGACTTGGTAGGAGCTGTAGCCGTCTTACCATCCCACCCTGACATTGTCAGGGTGGGTCTGTCCCACATAACAGAAGATTCCCACAAAACAGAAGATTTTCAATTTTACCACTGCTTTAAACACATATTTACATATAACCACCACGACTATCTAAATACCATTTCCCAGGACTACCATATCTAGCCGATAATCTAGCTTCACGTTCAGCTTCAGCCGCGTCCCTTGCCATTTGAGCCTGTTGTTCAATTTCTGCTAGCCGGGCATGTTTTTCCTGTAGCCTCTGAATCTTCTTCTGGTCGGCCTCCTGCCTTTTTTTGATCATCCGATTTGCATTTGCCGGTATGAGTGCCATTGGACCTGCATTGAGAATTGATTTGCGATTTTTGGGAGCGCTTGCTCGCGATCTGTGGTCCTGAGACTTCTTTAAAGAAACCTCGCAAATTTCAAGCCGTTAGGCCAGAAGAGAACTTGCGTTTATACTTCGACGAATATGCCTTTTTATATGTGTAGATAAATCATCTAGCTTAACCAGATCATTAAGAAGCTTATCATTAAGCTTCTTAACCCGTAGGATAGTATCTGGTGGTGAATTTGTTGCTGAACTGGATGGCTCGGGGGGGGGTGATGGTGTATTGATGATCCTTAGGACTTCCCCCTTAAGTGCCTGCTCCCGTAAAGGACCGATAATTTTCTCGGGATCAAAAGGAAAAATACCACGAGAACTAAAAGATGATCTAATAGTTCGTTGGGTAAAGGTATCACTTCGTATCTTGCCAATCATCTGGAAAAAATCCCGCTTTTGGCTAACACTTCCACCCCATATTACTACTTCATTATTTGACTTTTTGAAGTAGTGTTTAATACATTAGAATGCCTGGCCATCGAGAGGTTGGTATAGGTGGGTAGTATGGGGTAAAAACCAGATTAGGATAATGAATTTGTCGGTACAAAAGGTAGTAAATTCAAGTGAGGTATGAGATAGATGATTATCTATTAGAAGAACACGGGGCCTATCCTTTTGGACCCGGTTTTTTGTAGCCTCATGAAAAGAACAAAGCCATTTGAATGCAGTATCGTTATCAATCCACCCCTTAGGGGTAGGTTTAATACAAAAATCGGGAATTGTGATATTGGTATACCATTCTTCTATCTGCCGGCATCCTTTCACTAAGAACCACGGTAGCATCGCCCAACCATCTACAGCAATGCATTCAATACCAGTAATTGATTCAGCGAGACCACCGGTAGCAATATGACTAGTCGAACGAGAAGATACAACTTTACGTGGCTTTCCTTGGCCAATTTGGTAGCCGGTCTTATCCCAATTGTAAATCTCATGAGGTAGGAGTTTGTACTCTTCCATGACCTTTAAGAAATGGTGAAACCAGAGAGTAAGACCCTCAATACTCTCACTATCCATACGCGCCTTTTCCTTAGGTTTTTGTGTGATATATTTGAGGTGGGGGGTAGTCTGGTAAGGAAGCGATATACCCAGTTGTGACCGACGGAAATGTCAACACCCGCGCGTTGTAAAAGTCGGTTTACAGTCTCTTCAATCTCTTCGGGTGTAGGTTGAATATAATTGGCATCTAGCAAAGTGACCCAGCTAATAAGTGCCTTTTCCTGAATTGGACTAAGTGTTTTAGAAAGGTCGGTACGGTCGGAATGAGTCTTGCCACCATGGACGCGCGCGTAGAGGGTTGTGTACAGAACAGAGAATTCTCGCGCCAATGGGGCGATTTTTGGTTTTTTTCTTTGATAGTAGGCTTTGACAGCCAGTTGCATTTCATCCTCTGAATATTTGGCTTTTTTCGGCATCGTGTTGTGGTAAAAAAATTGGTAGGAAGTTGGTGTAAAAAGAAAAATCTTCTGTTTTGTGGGAATCTTCTGTTATGTGGGACAGACCCATACCTGGAACAGGTATGGGGGCGGTAAGACGGCTATAATGTAGATATCGATTAGTCGAGACTTTTTGGGGTATTTTTGTAGGACGATCTTACTCTGTTGCTCCTCCAGTCTAGGGCTCTCGATATCATTCATAATTTTTGAGAAAGGATTCCAGTAACGGAAATATTAATCTGCCCACACAGTACACCAAAATAATTTCACAAAAACTAAAGAAATCGACTTGGGCAAATTGCAGCTCCCACTTTTTTTTTAGAGTGCAAATAGTGCAAACTATCAATCCACTTTACTATTTAAGCCACTCGCATTTTTTCTTCTTCCCTTAATTTTCTCTTCATCAAATACCTTTCTTTTCTTTTTTTTAGTTTGTATAGCCGTTTTTCTTCAAAAATGGCCGTATTAACCTTGTGGTTGTGCATGGCAAGCCCATAGCTTGTAGCTTTGTTCAGCTTGCCAAGCTTCTCCAAGGACATACATCGCCAAGCTGTCCCCGATATGATGAATTCTTTTATGGACGGGACAGTTGAAATTTCAGAATGTGAGTGTCAAGTGCTTTTTTTATTTTTATTTTTTTCTCCTCGCTCTTATGATGAGTGACCTTTTCACACAGACCTGTTCTGAACTATATTGTTGATAAACATTGTTATATAAATGTTATCTGACAGAGCCTCTTGACTTTCTTCTCTTGTCGAGTCTATGAGATCATTGCTAATATGATTTACAGATTTTCACAGATTTTCACAATTGACCTAATTTATAATGAAATTCATACCTTGTAATTAACTTAACATACATGTTTCCTTCTATTATTCAGTTCGTAGTATCTTGATCTTTTTAAACACTTTCAAGTTGAAAGAAAGGAGCCGAGGTCTAGTCATGATTAGTCATCAATATGGGAGAAGATCGTGCCCTAGTTGGATGGAAGTGCTGATTGACATCGTAGTACTTCCCACTCATCTCCATCAAGGCTATGAATCATTCTTCACTTTATTCTACTTGACTTTCTTGCGCAGGCGCAGCCCGAAATGGGTAAACAGCACATCATGATCCTTTGTTTGCAATGAGCCACTTTCAAGAATACCCCAATTAGTTCAGTCCCCCCTCCAACCTCATGCCCGTTCTTTGACAGCTTCTTTGATAGATCCACCTGAATGTTTCTTGCATGTGCATTGATGTACTCCATTCATGAGAGGAAAGAGACCTATAGTCATGTGTTTTGCTTGCTTTCGAGTTTCTTTGTTCCGGGAACCCAGTCCTTCCCAACCCTAAAAACCAAACATCGTCTCTTCAATCCTTTTCTCCGTAGACTTCAAAATAGAGAGATGCTAGAAAAGGAGAAAATTGACACCACGCTGTCCGAGAAGGTCGTTCCAGCGCCACTCGGAACAGATGCCGAGCGAGCACGGCGCAGTCTCAATGCCAAACTCTCCAATCCGTTGGCTGGGTTCAGCCATACCGAACTGCGGAATCAGGGGCGCACATTTGCCGAGCTCCACGAGATGGGCGATGAATCCGATATCCGCGCTTTCGAGTTGGGTGCTGTGCTGGCACAGTGTCCAGAACAATATGCCAATGTGACTGGTTTAACAAACCAGGAGAAGGGAGTATTGCGCCGGGAGTTCACGAATCGCTGGTCACAGCCATGGAAAATGTATGCTGTCATTACACTGTGTTCTTTATCCGCTACAGTTCAGGGAATGGGTAAGTAGTTCAGACCGAGAAGTTTCCAAGCCCCGAGGAATGCCGTGCTGACAATACCAGACCAAACGGTCGTCAACGGAGCCCAGATATTCTACAAACACCAATTCGGCATCGGCGACGAATCCTCCCGGAGTGCCTGGCTCGTCGGTCTAGTAAACTCAGCACCATACCTCTGCTGCGCCTTCATCAGCTCCTGGCTGACAGTCCCATTCAACCACTGGTTCGGGCGCCGCGGTACGATATTCATAGCATGCTGCTTATCTGCAATCACCTGTCTCTGGCAGGGGTTCGTCTCAACATGGTGGGCGATGTTCATTGCGCGATTCATGCTAGGCTTCGGCATCGGCCCCAAATCAGCAACTGTGCCGATATACGCGGCCGAAACTGCACCACCGTCCATCCGTGGTGCATTGGTCATGCAGTGGCATATGTGGACGGCGTTCGGGATTATGATCGGCTATGCGTCGGACCTCATCTTCTACAATGTCGACTCGACTGTTATCGTCGGCTTGAATTGGCGCTGTATGATGGCCTCGGCGATGTTCCCGGCGCTGGTCGTTTGCTGTTTTGTCTTTGCTTGTCCTGAGTCGCCGCATTGGTATATGCGCGAGAAGCAGTATTACCGTGCTTATAGGTCTATCTGTGAGCTGCGGAATCATAAAATTCAGGCAGCTCGTGACCTGTACTATATGCATACCCTTCTGGAGGCTGAGGATAGGATGAAGCTTGGACGTAATGAGCTGTTGGAACTGGTTAAAGTCCCGCGAAATCGGCGAGCGATGTTGGCGTCTCAGATTGTCATGTTCATGCAGCAGGTGAGTGTAGATCTTCGCAAGACATACCGAAGTAATTGCAGAGTACTAACTTGAGCAGTTTTGCGGTGTGAACGTTATCTCATACTATTCTTCCGAGATATTTCTCGAGGTCAGTCCAATCCATCAATCCTCCTTCCTCTTCACATTATTAACATAAGCCCCAGGCCAAATTTTCTCCTGCAGCTGCCCTAGCCGCCTCACTAGGCTGGGGCCTAATCAACTGGCTCTTATCCATACCGGCAATTTACACCATTGACACATTCGGCCGACGCAATCTCCTTCTACTCACCTTTCCACTCATGTCCACGGCGCTGTTATTTACAGGGTTCAGCTTCTGGATCCCAGAAAGCAGCCACAATGCACGTCTCGCCTGCATCGCTCTAGGAACATACCTTTTCGGCGTAGTCTACTCCCCCGGCGAGGGACCCGTGCCATTCACATACACAGCCGAAGTATACCCGCTATATGTGCGGTCGTACGGCATGGCGCTAGGCACAGCAACAATGTGGTTTTGCAATTTCATCCTGGCCGTGACGTGGCCGTCGCTGCGCGCTGCGTTTACAATACAGGGGGCTTTTGCTTGGCATGCAAGCTGGTGTTTGGTTGGGTGGTGGATGGTGCTTTTGTTTATGCCTGAGACGAAGGGGAAGACGCTTGAGGAGTTGGATCGGGTTTTTTCTGTGCCGACGAGGCTCCATGCCCAGTATGGCTTGAGGCAAATTGGGCTTTTCGTACAACGGTATTTGTTGAGGAGGGATATCAGACCGGAGGTTCTTTATGAGAGGGAGGAGTTGGTCAAGGCTCAGGATGTGGGATTTAATGCGTGATGAGATGGGTATGGAGTGACATTTGGTCTACATTGGAAGAGATGGATTCAAGGGGTAATGTCCTTTGTTAGATCGTTTTGTTTCTGTTTTACTATAGAACTATAGAACTACTCTGACATATTAGTGTTTCTAATGAACAAACTTGGAAGTTATATCCCAATGTAACCCCCCTCACAGAAGGATTAGTCCGAATTGCAATGCCTCGAGAAAGACCACGAGTCTAGGTGCTTTTGCTTGCAGTTTGTATGGAGGCGGCTTCCTGTGATTTGGTTGTTGAGATTCATGAGAATAAATAGTGATTTCCATCAATTTTATTTTCTTACTGGCGCCTCTGACTACTCTAGTTTGTAGCTTTTGCATAAAGGATTGGCATAATAGATTATCTTATATTCGGTCAACGTCCGAACCCAATCAGCTGGACCCCAGGTGCATGGTGGCGCACCCACCCAACAGCGCGAAATAGGCATAGAATGGATGCGCTTGTATGCAAAGGATATAGCCAATCGGAGTATACCACAAGGTCATTGTTGGTTTTGGCCTCCATAATGTCATTGTCATGGCTACAGAAAACAATTGGTAAATGCAACCTGAATGTAAGTGAACTTGATATTGACCTTAGCCTATATAGACTGTTAATTGAAAAGAAATATATGATTACCAAGCTATAAAATATGAGTCAGACATACGGGTCGACAAAATGATAGTCAGAATAGTAAGATCTTGTTCTATAAAATGGATTGCTCTCGAACTCCTGGTACGAAAGAAATGACCTCGGGGAATTGAAATCAGACGTTCATTGGGCCCACAGCCTTGGGATCCCCAGAATCACCGTAGAAGGGCCTGATTAGGAAGGAGTCAGGAAGCATGCATAAAAAAGCAGGTTTCGCATATCGACCCTAGGAGGCTAAGGTAAGGACCAAGCACTCCATCACGCCTCGACTATTCAAATTCAGCCTTGTAAACCTCGTAATTTCTATAATCGAAAGAATATATAATTTGCTCTTGTATGCTCGGTGCTTAGTGGGCTCTGAAATTACCTATATAATCGTTACATGGTTCGAAGTTGTCGGTAGGCTTTGCAAAGCCATGGATGCCTGAGCTAACCTAAAGAGACCCCGAAATGTAGGCATCAGAACTCGGTCAACTCCGACCTCTGAGGAAATGATGACATACCAAAATAAAATGGGGGTATAAGCCTCCTGATTAACATCAACGGCCCGCCTGAGCGATCCGCTTTAGTCTAAATCCTGGTATGCATGGCGCTAATGCTGACAATATAGACAACAGCCAACAGCGAGTCCAAGATATACTTGAATAGGCTAGTTCATGAGCTGTAGGTCAGGGAAGGTGCGAATCGGTTGACTCGCGCTGGCTGAAACCGGCAAGTTCGACATTTAGGGAAGGAGCAATGGAGGTTTGGTCATTGGCTCGGTATCATTGGATTATTCCACTTTGGGAAGGCGTATACACTTGTCGTCATTGAGCTCCCCCGCTTCGGCCTTATCATTCCGGGGTATAAAGGCTTTCTGGGGACTATCTTATCCAGTCTCAATTCTGTAACTTCTTTCTAGTCATCACAATGCAGAGCACTTTGACTCGACTGGTACTTGCTTTATGCGATGGCTCGTCTACTCTTCGAGATTTGGGTAGCTTGACCTCGATTCTTCTACTTTCTGTCTTGCTGTATAAGTTACTACACGTGCCAGTGGCATCTCCGCCCCGAAGTAACCGTTCCCTTCCGCGCTTGCAATTGCCTGGTTGGAAGGTCGCCCAGTTGTTCTTTGAGAAGAGGTTTGATTTCATCAAAGATGGCTTCAAGGCTACATCATCTTCTATCTATCAGACCAGTCTGTTCCGACATACCGCCATTGTTCTATCTGGGGATGACGGCCGGAAAGTCTTCTTCAAGGAGAAGGGTCTTGGCTTACATGATACATTCTCAATCATGATGGGCAGTGTAAGACCCCGGTGATTGCTTCGGTCTCGTAACAACTAAATTCTTGCATTAGGGCGCTGCTCAATTTGATCCCCATCAAGTTGGCGGCGTAGTCAGACGAATGGCTTCGATTCAACGAAGTGATAATCTTCAGAAGTGTTGGTCTTTTCCGTTCTCGAAGAGGTTGAAGATTGACTAATATAAATACAGTGATTCCATTGATCCTGTCCGAATGCCAGCGTAAAATGGACGCATGGGGTAGCGAGCGTATTCTCGACCCCTGCTCTTCCCTTCACGAGGTGCGTGTATCTGACTTCTATCTTTAGTAGATGGGGAAACTGAGACATCTGATTTTATCTTAGGTCACTTTTCAATTGGTCATGCGAATTGCTTCATTTGATATCTCCAATGACCCAGTGCTTTCAGCTCGTCTCAAGTCACTTGTCGACACTATCGACTCTATCACTAACCCATACTCAACTTGGTTGCCTTGGTTACCTGGCCCAGCCTTGTTCTACAAGTTCTTTGCTTCTGTTCAAATTTACATAACTGTCCAAGCGGCCATTAACACTAGGAAAATGAGCGGAATCAAGAGGAATGATATGCTGCAGCAGATGATTGATGATGGAGATGGTACAATTCAAATCTTTGGGGTATGTATTCCAAATTTTCTGTTCTTTAAGTATTTTCATCGGGGATCTGACTCTCTCAAAGTGCATATTAGGATTATCCCTAGCTGGATCTCGTGCCACTGGAACAATAGGTAAGTTTGATATTCACACCGAATATAACAACACTGATAGTTATTCCTTCTAGTAACATGGCTAATCATGCAAATCTCTTCGGACCCAACTTGGTCCTCAAATGTTCAAGATGAGATCAGAACCTTTATATCTACCCACACGCCCTCATCAGCCTCTCTCTCTGGGAACACCCTCACCCAAGCCCTCTCAGAGATCCCACTCACAGCCTGGGAATCTCAAACACCTAATCTCGACCTCTGTATACGCGAAACACTGCGCACCTCACAGCCATACACAGCAGTGCGAAAGAACGACGGCCCAGATCTTACAATCGGGCCATACGTTATCCCCTCGGGGTCTCTCGTTATTTACCCATTTTCGGACACAGCGCTCAACCCGAACTACTACCCAGACCCAACTCGCTGGGATCCGTCTCGCGGAATTGAAAAGGAAACGCCGTTTATTGGCTGGGGTGCGGGAAAGCATGCCTGCAAAGGCCAGCGACTTGCGACGTTGAGTATGAAACTTGTGGTCGTTTATGCGATGATGCGGTTTGATATCACGATGGTTGATGGGCAGGGCGAAATGATCAATCGTCTTCCTCTTCCCGAATGGAATGATTCTGCAACTTGTCGCCCTAAAGAGGAATGTGGAATCAAGTTTGTTGCGAAGTAATCTTGTATGCTGTCATCATGTATGCTGTTATATGTTATTCTCATTTTATTTCCTTTCTTCGAGCCGACGTTGTATTGATTAGCGTCTGAACAAATATTACTTCTTCTACATTGAAAAATGAAATAAATATACCCAAACTAAGCATAATTATCCTTGTCAAGCATTGGGTACCTCACTCTATTCATCAGGGAAGTACCAGTGACTGTATCTTCATATTTCTTTTATTCGCAATATACGACCATTGATCTTAGCTATATGGCTTTCTGGTGTCTTTTTAATCTCTTTTTTTGGTATGTTTTATATGTACTGGTCTTTTATCTGATTTTTATTTACCTGGGATGGTTAGCCACATGACTCGTGTATGATAGCTTCACCATCTCACATCCTCCCTCTGCAATCAACTACAACCAACAATAAAATGGCTACAAGAACAATTTATCTCATATCAGCTCGCAATACACCCTTCCAAAGAGCCCACTTCTCAATATTTGTCCCGTCAGCTACCAATCCCGACCGGGGAACCAAAATCCACGCGGTTGGGGCACCAATGGCAGGCTATGCCCTGGAATTCAAGCGAAACTACAATCCCAGTCTCGACCCTCACGACCAGACCTTTCCAATCGGCCAGGTCGCCTCGTCCGACATCGTTGATTCTCCAGATGCAGCTCCATCTATCGACTCCACCCCCCGAGGGAAGATCGAACTAGCGGCGACACAAATCCCCACTCCGGGGATCAACCAGAACTTCATGGCCCCTGTCAATGATGTGAGTGAATACAACATAGGCATATACTCTACGGAAGTATTGTAAGATCTGGATCAAGCTCACACACTTGGCTTTCCAGACCACCAACAAGCGGTGTCAAGAATGGACTATGGAATATGTCCGCCATTTGGTTGCTAAGGGCCTGATCGATGAAGAAGCGATTGAAATCGTTCAGTCTAAACGTGATCCACCTACTCATGGAATTGGGCTGCGATCTGTGGCTAGACATATCACGTAGGGGACACGACCTAGAATAGGAAACAATAATATGTCCATTCCATCTCCGCCGCCAACCGCTCCCCGCATCCGCCCCGACCCCGAACCGCCGTCGGATGCTTTCCTTGTATACGCAATGTACTTATCAGGTTTCACATCCGATGGACATTCCGATGGGAATTCCGATTGACAGGGCTGATGATCCAACGTAACCATGGAAGGCCTGAACGCTTCCGAAGTGCGGGGTCCCCGCATTTACTATAAAGCAGTTGAGAATCATACAGATTATCTCTCCATCCTCAAGCCTGTCTACTTCCTTACTCGCTTATTCCCTTACCCCCTTACTAAACAACCAACATGCTCGGCAAAATCGCCCTCGAAGAAGCCTTCGCGCTCCCCCGATTCCACGAAAAGACAAAATGGTGGGCGGGCATGTTCGCAACCGACACAGACAAGCACACAGCAGAGATTAATGACGTCGGACCAATCCGACTCGACTTCGCCGAGCGCTACGGCGTCGGTCTCCAGATCCTCAGCTACACAGCACCTGGCGTGCAGGACATCTGGGACGCAAAGGAGGCGCAAGCGCTGGCCGTTGAGATCAACGATTATATCGCCGAGAAAGTGAAAGCACACCCTGATCGGTTTGCGGCATTTGCGTAAGTCGCCTCAAATCCATAATTGAAATCAATACATGCACGATAGATATGGACCATGGTACATCCAGCTAACCCAGCCAGCACGCTCTCAATGCACGACCCACAAGAAGCAGCCGCCGAGCTCCGACGCTGCGTAACACAGCACGGGTTCCTAGGGGCCCTAGTGAACGACACGCAGCGTGCGGGTGTCGACGGCGACGACATGATCTTCTACGACAATGAGAAATGGGACGTGTTCTGGGCGACGTGCACTGAGCTCGACGTGCCGCTGTACCTGCACCCGCGCAACCCGACAGGCACGATCTACGACAAGCTCTGGGCTGATCGGAAATGGCTGATTGGGCCTCCGCTGTCGTTCGCGCACGGGGTCAGTCTGCATGTTCTTGGGATGGTGACGAACGGGGTGTTTGATCGGAACCCCAAGCTGCAGGTTATACTGGGCCATTTGGGGGAGCATATCCCGTTTGATATGTGGCGGATTAATCACTGGTTTGAGGATCGGAAGAAGACGCTGGGACTTGCGGAGACGTGTAAGCGGACGATTCGGGAGTATTTTGCGGAGAATTTGTGGATTACGACGTCTGGTCATTTCTCGACTACTACGCTTCACTTTTGTATGGCGGAGGTTGGGGCGGATCGGATTTTGTTCTCGATTGATTATCCGTTTGAGACGTTTGGGGATGCTTGTGAGTGGTTTGATTCGGCGGAGATGTCGGATACGGATCGGTTGAAGATTGGAAGGGAGAATGCGAAGAAGCTGTTTAAGCTTGGGGCTTATAAGGATAGTACAGCTTGAGGTTAGTTTGGGAGAGATAGCTTGGAATGTTCCTATTGAATTTCGTTATGCATTCGCTGTGTCGCGTGCAACATTGCATCTGGGGTATTGAACTGAAGACAAATCGTAAAATCGTAGATATGGAAAAGATACCCCATGCCACAGTCCAGTGTGGCTCTTTGATCCATCGTTCAGATATCCTCTCGGCTAGCGGCTCTGCTCTGCTCGGTTTGCTGCCGATCCTTCTCGAGTGCCTGGTATTGATCCCAGCAGTGCTCCCAGATGTCTGGGGGGTCACAAAGATAACCCAACACCGGAGCAAAGTACTGTTCTTTGATCTCAAGAGTCAGCAAGTTCAAGGTACCGTAGCTTTCGATACATCTGGTCATCAGCTCCCAGACGATAATGATACGACGCGAAAGCTTTGCGCGTGTGGGGCTAGGTTGCTGTTCGGTCAGGATCTGACGGTTGCGCAGACGGACGAAAGGAGTGCGGATCCATTCCTCATACATGTCCATGTACAAAGCAAGCAGTTGTCGTTCAAGGAGACGGGGCTTTTTCATGGTCCTGTTCACTGCGTATCAGAGCTGCCGAAGCAAAGGGTAGACAAGAAACAATAGCCGTGGCACCTACTTAGCGAACACAGTCGACATTTTGCAGAGTCGCTCGTAGTCCGACGTACCCTCCAGCGAGACGCTCTCGAGGGTATAAGAAACCTGTTCGGCAGACTTCAGCTGCTCTCTAAGCATCTCATCCATAAATTCAACATGGTTGAGAACGGTCTCGAGCTGAAGTTCTGCGTCTCCAATTTCTTTGAGAGGCAGAAGCTCCTTGGTTTGGTGAAAGATGATGAAGTTGAACTGAAGGGTGGCATTGACGATGGTAATAAATTGCCTGCGGATCTCATGACGCAGTCGCGGGTCAGCGAGACGGTCTCGGAGCTGTTCGAGGATGACCTGGCTGCGGTGAGATGGGTCGCCTTCGATATATGGGATAATGTTGGGATCGACATGGAGGGTGCGGATCTCTTGCTTTGCGGCTCTGCCGAGAGCGTGGATCCATGCTTGTTCATGGCGCTTGTCGGCTGCGATGGAAGATGCAAGCATCTCACACTCGGACTCGTTGTATTCAGGGAATGGCTCAGCATCAGGGAATGGTTCGGTCTCTGTGTTTGCAGTCTCAGTGTTTGCATGAGTAGCAGATCCAGATCCCTCTGATTCGAGGTTCATCGCGACTTGAGAGGAAATAATCGCGGCTTGGGACTCTAGTGTGAGATCCATTCTGAAGATGAGATGAGAGTTAAGTTAGATGAGGGGGAGAAGAGGGAAGAGGGGATGGGAGAGGTGTTTGTAAGATGGGACTGACTGCCATAATAATGCATTCAAGTTACTAAATAAGGCACACGCGTGACAATGGACAATAGACAATGGATGTGACAATAAGACTCAATAGAAAATATGACTATACATGAATTTACCGCTGCTCAATCCAAAAGCGCTAATAGATCAGACTCAATGGTCAGAACGCTCTTTTACAATTGAGTGGTGGACTGCCTTCCCCAAGAACGCTGCCTGATCAGTGAAGCAGCGAATGACTTGAGAACAAGACGCTCTCGAGCCAACCATCTACTTCTCAGGCAGACAATCAAGAGTTAATGAAGACAGTTATTGTTCTTCGCACATTGACTAATCGACGTCTCATGGGGCAGAGGAGGACGGCAACTTAAGTAGTGCGAGTTCATTGGAACTATTCTTCCTTCACTCCAGCGTCTGGTATTGGGACGTCCGTGTCACTCTCGTCACCTGGTAGTGGGACATCCATGACTCGTTCGCCAGCCTTCTCTAGCGTTCGTCTACTCCATGAACGAACACCTTTGTAGACAGCCTGTCTGCGGTTAGCTAAGTCAGATAAAATCAAATCTGACCACACATACCCAGAGGAAAGTGCCAATGCCAACTATAACCACTATCCAGTTCAACTGGGCGACCCGGTTACGGCCCGAATTGCGACCTGATGCGACAGACCGGAGATTCCAAGGAAAAGGTGACAGCGCAAATATTGCCTTGAGGAATGATAATAAGCCCAAAGACGCGAGTCCTTTGAGGAAGTGTCCCAGCCAGGAGGCATCTTCCTCGACCAATTCGTCGACCAATTCGGCGTAAACATCCACGGGGCCCAAGTAGAAATCAATGATGGGGTCAGCTATGAATCCAAGCAGGAATACGGTTAACAAAAGAATGCCAAGTGTGAGAATTAGCTGGGCAGTGGTGCTACTGATCCACCGAGCCCAAGTCAGACGCTCCAGGCGATACTGAAAGCCGCAGGTGGGACATTGCCAGAAGTTTCTTGTCCCATATTTAGGGTCGGCATGGCGCCATGACTGCAAGCAGCCCTCGTGGACATAACGCGAGGAGCCTTTGCATTGGCAAGGGCTTAACAGACGGCCAGATTCTGGATCGGAAGATTCATAAACCACTCGAGGCTTCTGGAGGAATTCTGAGGGTTCGAAAGTCGGCAGCACACTTTCTAGGCAGATGCGACAGACCCGCGGGGGGTAATGCTGTGTGTCTTCCATTGGTCTCACATCGAAGTTTACTCGAACCTTGACAAGAGAAGGCCGAGTTACTGTTTCATTTTTGAGATGTTGAAAAAAAAAAAAAAAAAAGGCTAGAAGAAGAGGAAAAGCAGAAAAGCCGAAGGTGTCCCAAACCCCACGGCTAATCCCGATCTGGTCACCGCCTTTCATGTGCTCTACCGCGCCAAACGTCACCCATCTCTGCCTACAACACAGCTCCCCTTCTTTTGATCTTTCCATCCTCTCCTCTTCTCTTCCCGTTGACAGCGAATCATGGCTGACCGATACTCATTCTCCTTGACGACATTCTCCCCCAGGTAAGGACGACTTGTCCTGTGGAATTGACAACGTGCTAACTCAGCTCCATTATAGCGGAAAGCTGGTGCAAATTGGTATGGACCATCGTCTCTGAGCTTAAGCATCGATGACTGATCAATATAGAATATGCCTTGAACGCGGTCAACCAGGGTGTAACTGCCCTTGGTATCAAAGGTACGAAAACGTCCAAGCTCACCTATATGGACCAAGCTGACCGCTGTGATAGCTACGAACGGCATTGTCCTCGCGACTGAGAAGAAGTCATCCTCGCCTCTGATCGACCCTCCCTCGCTATCCAAGATCTCACTGATCACGCCGGATATCGGTATGGTCTACGCCGGCATGGGCCCTGACTACCGGGTGCTGGTCGACAAGGCCCGCAAGGTCTCGCACACAGGCTACAAGCGCATCTACAACGAATACCCACCTACTCGTATATTGGTTCAAGACGTCGCTCGGGTAGTGCAAGAAGCTACGCAATCCGGTGGTGTGCGACCGTACGGTGTCAGTCTGCTGGTCGCAGGCTGGGACGAGGGCGTTGAGCCAGAGTCAGAAGAGGCTAAGAAGGATGACCCCGAGGAGAAGATCTCCAGCAAGACTGGCGGTATTCAGAAGGGTGGGCCCAGTCTGTACCAGGTCGATCCCAGTGGCAGCTACTACCCGTGGAAGGCGACAGCCATCGGCAAACACGCAAC